CCTAATAGAGGCATATTTGTAAGATTTCCCAAGCCTAGAATTGCTGGATTCAGACCTGAGCAGCATAAGTATCCCTTAAGCCTCCAGATGAAGCAGGAGATAAGGCAGATGCAGTTTCTTCAATCAGTATTCTCCCCAGCCCTTTTTTCTCCCCTTGCTGTAGTTGATCAGAGATCCTGGTATACCCCATAGCAAGAAGATTTATAAGAGAGTGGAGATAGTAGAAGAAAATTGCAACTTCTCTTGAATTGTTGAATTAAGAGATCTAAGGATTTATAAACATCTTTGGAAAAAAAATCTAGGCGTGAAAATCCAGTGCATGTGAAAACCACTAGGTTATGGAAATACTAATCTAAATGCAACCAGGAGTCACATAACATGACCTCAGTTTCTCAACAATCACTTCTAACCCTACTGATAGGATCAAGAAGGGATTAATCTCCAATTTGTTTTGGCGTGGAGTTCAAATGATGCTTCCCCATCTTTTTTCCACAATTTGCTACCTACATAGATGCACATTTTTTTTTGTTTGATGTTTTTTCAAAGAAGTTTCTTTTGCCTGGGTGCAATTCTGGTTATGCAGCCATAAAGCTTTTTGTTTGCAATTTTTCATTTCAATCCCCTAGAATTTCAAGCATTCTCTTTCTTCTGATGTGCCACAAGTTTAAGGTTTAGTGATTTCCCCCCCTCAAATATGAAGAAGAGAATTAAATTTTTAAAAAGGCTATAGACGTTTGAGCCAAAGTGAAATGAGTTCAATATTCCTATGAGTAGAATCACTGGTAAATCTGAAATTCTGTCTCATGCAACAGTCTGAAGTTCTCCATTTATCTCATGTGATAGTGAGAACACACACACTTGGTTTCTTCTTCAGAATAGATCTGATTTCGAGACAGGAACAACAAAGCCTCTTCAGTCAGTTTCACAAGGCAGACCTTCCTATGAGTCTGACACAAGATTTTTGCATTATCAAACATTTTGCTATCTGTGCTGAGAACGCAGGCTACATAGCTCAAGTTAAAGCTTACGGAAACCCATTAAGAAGACACTTAGCTGTAAGAGAACTCTCACGCTTCAGGGCATATGCTGAATGCCTTCAGGGGTCAGAAAGGAATTTCCCCTCTATAAGAGATCAGTTCAACATTTGGTAATGTATCTAGCTAAGACATTTTGCAATCCTGTAGCTTCAGGCACACCCTTGCCTGTCCTGTAAAAAAGAGCATATGGGGTTCCCTTGATCAATGAATAATGCTGAATTGGCAACTTGCTTCTTCTCTCTGGAGGCTAAAGGTTACAATGCAACACAACAAAAGTTGTACACAACAGGTGATTGAAGCTCATGCAAGTTTTTTAAAAAAATAATAATTTCAACTTTAATGTATTATTTAATACGTGCCTATATCCAATTATGATATAGTTCCACTCAAATATATGTCTTTAATTCAGGTCCAACTTCTTAGTAAAATTGAGTGAAGCCGAGGATACATCTACATATTCTTCCTAATTTATATCAATGATACCTCCTTTTTATTTGTTTAAAGTCACATTTCCGTGATGTAACCTTTATTAGAGGAAGCTTCTGGATTTATATTAAATACTGAATGTCAAATGTATGCATTGTCCCATCATAAAAAGTATTTTATTTATATTTTATTTCACTCTCTATCATTTCTAGCCACAGGTTCATTCTTTCCTATTGTTGCATCTATTCATATTTTTTAAAGATGTGCCAAGAAAAATATGTTTGTCACAGATTAATACAATCTAACAATATATTTTGTGTAGTTTTGTATGTTTGAAAAACAGACCATTTGCAGTACATAGTCCGTGCATATATTGTACATTACATAATACATACATATATTGTACATACATGTTCAATTTTTCCAATAAATATCTTTTCATTATGATGCTCCATAACATACGGTATTTCTCTCAATGCATACATTTTGTACACACTTTGAAGAACTGCAGTACAAAATGAGGAATTCATTTACAGTCTTGTGGACCTCCAGATACTGGTACAAAAAGGAGGGTGGGTATGATTTCCATATAAGTAAGTAGTGGCCATCATGGAATCTGTATAATTATATTGTATTATATTATTTATGGCTACTGTATATTTCTATCCTCTTGGGAGTTCATGGCAGTACATATAAAATGAATGTGTCCCCTTATTTTAGTTTTACAAAAGAAATCCAAACCCTTGTGAGGTGGAAATTTTCAGTTGTCTCCCGTGGGAACTAATTGCTACTTGAATTTGCAGAATGTATAAGGCATGGCTCAAGGGAGGAAGTGACAATGCTTAGGTATTGCCTTGCTCTTTTTATTGCAGACTTCTGTTTGCAACTTACAGCTTCCATTTTAGAGACTGTTCCAAGTAGGGCCAAAAATTATAACTTCATTTCCTTTCATCTAATCATTAATTGAACAGAACAAAGATGGTTGCAAAATCTGGAAGGAGGGACTGCTATATTTGATGAAAGAAAAATGATGGTGTACTATAATTTGTCCTTATTAGTTAATAGTTAAATAATAATTAATGTAAGGAATATATACTAAAATATATGTGCTACTTTTCCCCCTTTATTTTCTATCTTTGATACATTATTTTAAGAGGTATTTAAGAGTATTGATTAATGGACTGATGTCTGCAGTTGTAATCTATTTCAACCATTATACAAAACAGAGAGGGGTCTAATGTTGTTGTATTTACCCTCCTGAACATGGGTAGTACAATGTATTCAGGACGGTAAGTATAACAACATTAGACCTCTCAACATATACAGAGTACAAATACACAAACATGCATACAAACAAACCACAGTTTATTAAAATCTGAATATTTGAAATGGCAATCCAATTCACTCCAATTTTGGAGTGAAACATTAGAAGCAAATTAATAATAATAATAATAATAATAATAATAATAATAATAATAATAGTTGTTGTTGTTGTTGTTGTTATTATTATTATTATTATTATTATTATTATTATTATTATTATTATTATTATGATGATGGACCTGAGTCCAGCAGGACTCAGGTCAGTGAGCAGCCGAGATAAAACATAACATATAAAATTTAAAAAACAGTTTAAAAGACATTAATAATTTTGGCTCACAATTTAAAACAACCCAGTTAAAACCAATTTCAAATTAAAACCGAAAGGATGGGATCAAGCCAGCCCGGCTAGATGAAATAAATGAGTTTTCAGGGCCCGACGAAAAGTCCGCAGGTCTGGTATCGTGCGTATCTCTGGGGGTAGGTCGTTCCAGAGGGCAGGTGCAGCCACAGAGAAGGCTCTCTCCCTGGGGGTCGCCAGCCGACATTGTCTGGCTGACGGCACCGTGAGGAGGCCTTCTCTGTGCCAGCGTACTGACCGGTGGGAGGCTATTGGTGGCAGAAGGCGGTCTCGTAAATACCCCGGCCCTAAGCCATGGAGTGCTTTAAAGGTGGTCACCAACACCTTGAAGTGCATCTGGAAGACCATCGGAAGCCAGTGCAGCTCGTGCAGGAGAGGTGTCACATGGGAGCGCCCCATCGCTCCCTTAATCCCCTGCGCAGCCACATTCTGGACCAACTGGAGCCTCCGGGTACACCCCAAGGGGAGCCCCATGTAGACAGCATTGCAGTAGTCCAGGTGGGGAGTGACGAGTGCCTGAGTGACCGTGTGTAGGGAGTCCCGATCCAGAAAGGGATGCAACTGGCGTATCAGGCGAACCTGATAAAAAGCCCCCCTGGCCACGGCCGTCATATGCTCTTCTAAAGACAGCCGTGCATCCAGGAGGACGCTCAAGTTGCGAGCCCTCTCTGTGGCGGCCAGTGATTTGCCCCCAATAACCAGCAATGGCACCAGCTGGCTATATTGGGACGCCGGAAGCCACAGCCACGCGGTCTTGGAAGGGTTGAGTCAGAGCCTGTTTCTCCCCATCCAGGCCCGCACGGCCTCCAGGCTCCAGGACATCACTTCAAGGGCATCGTTGGGGCGGCCTGGGGTGGAGATATACAGCTGAGTATCATCAGCGTACTGATGGAACTCCACCCCAAAGCCACGGATGATCTCACCCAGCGGCTTTACATAAATGTTGAACAGAAGGGGCGAGAGGACCGAGTCCTGAGGCACCCCACAAACAAGGTGCCTCGGGGTTGACCGCTGCCCCCCTGCCAACACAGATTGAGAACGGTCAGAGAGGTAGGAGGAGAACCACCACAAAACGGTGCCCCCCACCCCCAACCCCTTCAACTGGTGCAACATGTACCATGGTCGATGGTATCAAAAGCCGCTGAGAGATCTAACAGGACCAGGATAGAGGAACAACCCCTATCCCGAGCCCTCCAGAGATCATCCACCAACGCGACCAATGCCGTTTCCCTGCTGTGCCCAGACCTGAAGCCGGACTGAAACGGATCTATATAGACAGCTTCATCCAGGTACTGTGGAAGCTGCCACGCCACCACACTCTCAACAACCTTCGTAATAAAATGAAGGTTGGAGACTGGACGATATTTTCCTATGAATGATAGATAGACCCTGTTAGAATTATGTTAAGGGCACAATATTCTACAATGGTCTGTAAAATTTCAAAAGTCTCAACCTGTTACTTAAGTGCAAGCCAATGTTTGCTTGTAAGAAATTGATTGATAAAATAAATGTTTGAATCTGTTTTCTGAAGAAGAAAAGAAATATGGAAGGGAAGGAAGATACAAAATGAATGCTGAATATTTAATTATTAATTTTATTTGGTAGAATGCCTATCTTTTCCAAAGTTTGTTTTTCATTTCCCCTTTAGATTAACTAAGACATTTATTTTCAATAAAACATTAATAAATCTGAAATCTTTAAAGATCTAGACTACATATATTTTCTGATTACTGATAGAATATTTAGCTTTGCCAATGCTACTGCATTGCCAATATAGCAGTAGAACATAATGTTGTATGATATGACATTAATTCATCAATCTCTTTTAAATAAGGCATTAAAATAAATATACTTACTGAAATAGGAGTATTTCCAAGAAAGACAATCAGAGAGAGAAGTGGCAAATAGACAAACCAATTAACCATTCTTATTTTAAACAGTTTTTCTTTCTGCTTGTGAATATGCTTTTTCTTGTTTCTATTTTTTCCTGTTTCTCAATCTAAATTGTTAAATAACAGGTTTTGCAAATCATTAACCATACTTTCAATTTTGATCACACTGGACTAGCAAGTACAACTGGCATGGAAAGTTTTCCTCTAAGAAGTCTTTTCTGAGGCCTATGCTAAGGGGAAGAGTTGCCATACTTTATTTCTAACTTATTTGTAATGTCACTTTTAATAAACTGGCTTCTAAAATGTGAGATAAATTTGGATTAATGCTGTTCATTGGTTAGTCATTATATGGTTAGGTGCAGTTTAACCAAAAGGTACTACTTAAATTAGATGGTTTGTTACTTTGAGACTTGTATATCCTGCCCTTTTGTTTAACACGGTTACTGAAGAATGAGTCAATACTATACAAATTCTACCAATTTTAATGACAGATATTTGTTCTTTGAAGAACTTTATGGTGCTACATTGTATAATTCATTATGGAATAATATGGAATAATATGTTGATGAAGATTCTCAATCATCCAGGTAGAGCTGGAAGTTGAGTCATGTCAATTGGACTTATTTTCTTTTTGGTTTGAAACTTATCCATGTAGCTTCTTTAATCTGAACAAGTTCATCAGGGGGACCTATAAATGTCCACTAAGGTAGTTTCAGCAGCATTAGATTTTACCTAATCTGAATAAATTCTTTAGGTGAATAGATGCAAAGAGGCATTAAGAGTTGTTGCTCCTAAATCTTTTCTTTTAGATGAGTTTTTCAGTGTGACCTCCCCGATGAATCTGTAAAGCAGTCTTGATCTTCCTTGGACTGATGCAAGAGCAGCATAAAAAACAGGAGACAGGTTGTGTATGAAGCCTCCACCACTATTGAGGGAATGATTTCCATTTTGGCATAGATGGATTCCTTCACTCCTCTCTCAAATCATGTATTTTTCCTTATCCGAAATATGAACATTGTCCTCAAAAGAGTGTCCTTTTTCTTTTAAATAAAGGTGTACTGCTGGTCCTGTGGTGTTGTTTCTTCTATGCTGGGCCATCCTCTTGTATTAAATGCTGCTTGGTTTCCCCAATGAACACACCTCACTGCAGGGGATTGCATGCATTACATTACTCTTCTGATTTTTTGGTGTCTGATCTTTAGGATGGATAAACCTCTGTCTCAGTGTGTTGGTGGGTTTGAAGAACACAGATATGTTGTGTTTTCCAAGTATCTATTTTAGCTTCTTTGACACCTCAATCATGTAAGAAATTATAGGTTCTTTTATTGACTCTGAGTCTCAGCTTTGTCTGCCATTCTTTTGTTGGATCCAGATGCTGATTTAATAAAGGCCCAATTTGGATACCAACACAATGAGATGGAAGCTTGTCCAGCATATCAGTCCCCAAGAAGATCAAGACCATATCAGAGGTTCATTAAGGAGACCATTCTTAACAACCCACCTAGGAGAAAATATTTAGGAGCAACAACTCTTAACAAGTTTCTGCCTACCTACCTAACAACCTCTATTTAGATTAGGTAAGAAATGAAACCATTCTGGAGAACATATATAGGGTATCCCTAAACAACTTGCTCAGATTAAAGAAGCTAACTGAATAAGCAGCAAAAAGTTTCACACCCAAAAGAAAAGTCGTTCAGTTGCCATGACTCAGCGTATGGAAGTATTATTTAAGTTTTAATACAGAAAACTACTGAATTTCCTTTGATATTATTATATAGAAAATAATTTACAACTAGAACGAATTATGGTCTTTGATACTGACATGGTGATACCAACATATACCATATATATACCATACTGCCTTTTCACTGTTTTTCAGTTCCATAAAAGTTTCTATAAATAAGTTTTCTCTAGTCAGAGAAACAGAAAGATGAAAGGACTGTAATAAACACAGTTTTATGTGATCTGTCCTTGAATAAAATGAGGTGCCCTGAATTTTAATATACTCCTGATTCATCAAAAATCAGACTGAAGATATGGAGTGTAACTAATAACAACATGCTTTATATCCACGAAAGATAAATTAAAGGGAGTAAAACTACTATTGACAAACATTGATTATATGCACTCTGAAGGACTTTGAAGCTGAGTCAGATGCTTTCTACCAGTCTTCAATCTTCTTTTTTGAATTTCATTGCATAAGGTTTTACTTTTTAATTATTTTTCTCGAAAGCTCTTTGATCAAGTAAAATATAGATCACATTTGGGTGATATCATATCCTGTACTTTCTATGAAGTTGTGCCCTTGTGCATGATTTTAAATATATATTTGCAGAAGTTACATCATTTTTTATAAAATTTAATCTGCTATGCAGAAACCTATTTATTTTTTTAATCCAAGTTCTCAGATCTGTAGGCTGAATTTATCACATCATGAAAGTTTCTAATATAGTGTACCATGCATGTATTACCTTGTGCACATACTTGTCGCAAATCTTCCATATGTTAAAATTGAGTTTCATGCATGAAAATCTAAGTGAAATATTCTTAAGGCGTACTTAATAATCTTGTTAGTTTTCTTAATATACAATATGTATTTTGAGTCTTTTACAAATATGCAATCTGGATTTTACAAATATGCAATTGATTACAATTTGAAAGATAGTGTGATAAAGATTCAAAGTATTAATGATGCACATATGCTTTTGGCTGTATCCTTACGGTATATAGTATAGCCATTATAGCACTTGGAATCTAGCAAGATATCTACTGTGCATTTTTCAGGCATGGGAACTGAATAAAAACTGGATGGAACAATCAATGCTGGATTGTTCAATCAAAAGACTGTGAATATTGTTGAACAATTTTGTTTTTTATTTTTGAAAAGTGAAATGAAGAAGATTTTTGAGCAACATGGTCGTTTTATTGTATGGTTCATTAAACTTATAATTTTCCAACTTTTTTCTTTCATTTTATTTTTACTAAGATCATGATTATTAATATAAACATTACTTATTAGTATAATGCTAAGTATTTTCTCTAATTAATTTAAAGAGTAAAATATTTCAAAGCCCCTAAAAAGACAATTTTTGAGATCTGGGTAAGAACCACATCATAATATTTTATATTTTAAAATACTGTTTTTCAATCTTGGCAACTTTAAGATGTGTGGATTTCTAGAATGCTAGCTAGCAATTCCGAGAGCTGAAGCCCACACATATTAAAGCTGCCAAAATACTATTTTATAAAGTGGAACTTTGAAAAAATTTAAGTAATAATCCCTGTGATTGCTTCCCTTTCATACAGTCTAAAACTGGATTACAGCAGTTCATACAGAAACCTTGAGATTTGACTAACAAAATAACAAAGATGTCTTCAAAAATATCTACTATTGTGTTTTGTAGGGGTATTTTCATGATTATGGTTTTGTGTGAGGCTATTCTCAAACTTTGCTACATCTACAGTAATTGTCATCATGAAATTATAAATGAACATGGTATATTTACAAATGGCACTGAATAGGTGACTAAAAAACTATTAAGATAAAATTATGATGGTGATTATCTTCATTACCATATTATCATCCCAGTAATTTGAGATTGCAACTATTCCAATATGATTCAAACATTTTAAATGTCACCTTATAGAAAAGATGAATGGAAGGTTTTAAGAAGAGATTGGACAACCATTTGTCTGAAATGGTATAAGGTTTCCTGAGCAGTGGGACAGCAGGTTTCCTGAGCAAGGGAATTGTACTAGAAGACCTCTAAGGTCCCTTTCAACTCTGGTATTATTCTTCATCATCATCAGTCTGACAAAAAATTTTGTCTTTGGACTAAAACTCATATCTTTTCTCACCACCTATCTTTCTTAGGACCTCAAGGGAGTTCAGTTCAACAACACCTGTAGAAACATCGTAATTAAAATTGAATTGTAGAAATTGCTGATTTTCTGATCTTCAATTCTTAAAATTGAATTGTAGAAATTGCTGATTTTCTGATCCAGGTACAGTGGGAACCATAGAATGTCATTGGATGATTGGTTGCTGTTCTGAGCCCAACTTGCTTCCAAAGACTGTTGTTTTGGGGGGGAAAACTAAAGGAAGGATTACCATATATTCTACATTAAACTCCTAAAAAAGATGAAATACAAACCTGCCATAAAATTGAAGCTTTGTCCCTTTCTTTTATATATAGAATTCTGGACGTTAACAATAACAAACCACTTCCACATGTTTCCAGAGAAAACTACATGGACATTTCTATATGGTCACTAAAAGTTGAATTCAAGGCATTTTTATCTTTATATTATATAAAATATATTATCAGTGGCTAGTGTGGCTAACCAATAGAATATTATGGCTTTCAGTAATTATCAACAGTAAAGTCTTGGAGCCTGTCAAGAGTGTATATTGGATCCACTGCCTTCTGATTTACTTACAGTGTCTCTGCATTGGAGCAAAACTATGCTATCTCTAGCGATTATGAAGAAATAGAAGAAAGCAAAATCAAGATATAGAAAGTGCACAGGATGCAAATCAAAGATGTCAAAGGACTGCCCAACTAGTCCAAATTCACTCAGTCGGATGGGAAGATCTGTGTCAGCCTCATTCTGCTTCATTGCTTTCAGCTGCCGTTGTAACGGGAGTGGGGGGATATTGATGGTATTTGAGAGTGGGGGGAAGTGAGCTGGTGGAGACGGAAAAGGGACAGATATTCCTGCTGTTTCTTTAGCAGCTGCAGAGAAGAACTGGTAACTGCCAAGGTCAACCGTTCCAGCATACCAGATAGATGGGGCCGCCTAAAGAAGTACTCCACATGACACCTTGGGGAGATGTGGAATGGACGTTTGCCTTGGGACTGTGGGGGTGAGGGATCTGGGGGATGTATTCAATATGCAATTTTCACGCCTATTGCCTCAGACTTTGCTTTTCTTCCACTGTATTCAGTTCATACTCAGTAAAAGTACCTTTCTCTATAAACATGGAGTTGGGGTTTTTCTTTCTTGAGCTTTGAATGGAGACAAGCCTGACAGTCTGATTCTGGCACAGGAAACTCAGGTTCTCCCCACTCCTTAGGTCT